CTTTGTGTTAAGGTGTTAAGACATCTACCATGTCACTAGGTGATAGGAACTTTTCAGCTTCATTATAATATATGGGACCACAGTCATATATGCTGCCTGTCATTGACCAAAACATCATTACAAGGTGCATGGCTGTAATTAGTATTATACAGGGGGGTAGTTAAATGACTTATGTCATATCCACTGCAAGGAATACTATGCAACACTTAAAATTATGTAGGCATATATTTACTGACATGGAAAGATATCCATGATATGTCATAGTGAAGAAAAAAGTAAGCTACAAAATAGCATGCATTGTGTGATATTTGGTGAAGAAAAAGTATATATGTGAATGAGTTTCTGTAACTGTGTGCATCAGCATTTTTTAATACCAGGTTCAAATTTGTTTGGGAAATTCTGCACATTATACCTTCTCTTGGAGATTCACATTAGCCTTTAAAGGCTCTTAGAGGCCCTAGAACAAAGAAACAAATAAAATGGAAACATGCATAGATACAGAGAACAGACTGACAGCTGTCAGAGGGAAGGGAGTTGGGGGAACCTCATAGACACAAACATCAGTATGGTGATTACCAGAGGGAAAGGGGGTGGGGGCTAAAGGAGGGATAAATCGTGATGAAAGTAGACTTGACTTGGGGTGGTGAACCCACAATGCAATATATAGATGATGTGTTGTAGAACTGTACACCTGAAACCTATATAATTTTATTAACCAATGTCACTCCAATAAATTCAACTAAAAAAAGAAACATGCTTAAATTTGTTTAATCCAACATCTCTCAAATCTTAATTGACCACAGAGTACCTATTGTCTTATAACATTTATTAAAACAGAAGTATTATTTCATAGAACAGATTTTGAGAAACTGGTACTATAAGCATAGAAAAGTTTGAAAGGAGATACACTAAAATGTTAATAATATTTATGGGCTCTAGGATTATGGGTACTGTTTCTTCTCTTTGTATTTTATGAAAAATTTTTGCAATAAGTATGTATTACTTTTATAATCAAAACAGTAATAAGGCTATTCCCATTTTTCAATTGCATGCTTTAAAGGAGAAAGATAAGGTAAAAATAGTTTAAGATAAAGACAATTTATTTTTTTAATGTTTTTTTTAACTGATAGATACTTCCTCATTGTAAGCAAATAGCACACTTTCCACTCTTGTGGAATCCAGCAAACTAAACTGCAGGCTTGCCCAATTGGATCTTCTAGCACTTCATTGGACTGGTTCACCTACAAGAATACTAGGGAAGGAAGAGAAAATAATGAATGCTGAACAAAGTTTAAAGTCCTATACACTCTCCTGGTATGCACAGTTACTTTATAGTTACATCACCTTTTCCAATATAAGATTTTAGACAGCTTCTTCTCTTAATAAAAACCAAATGCTTTGATACAAACAAAATACTTCGGTGACTTGAGAAAATGAATAAAAGTGTGTTTCTGGTACATTTGGGATTGGAGGTAGAGGTAGAAGTATGGTCAGATAGTTTTTCTTTTGTTTTTAAAGTATCTTTTTAAAAATGTACTAATCAAGCAAAACAGTTTGTTGTGGAAAGATTAGAAAGTGCAGATAGACAAAAATAAACATGAACTCAAACCACAACAATAGTAATAATAATTAAAGCCACCTATTCACTACCACAAGGGGGAAAACCATGTTTAATATTTTGGTTAGGTCCTTATGCACATATGGTTTTTAATAACAAATTGGATTAAATTGTATGTCCTCTTATAATCTGTTGTTTTCCACTCAACAACGTTTCATGAATATGATTCTGCATAACTGTCCTTCTACGACAATGTTTGGTTACTATATAGTACTCATTGTATGAATGTTCAGTGCTTTCTTTAACCAACCAATGGGCTTTTAAGTTGTTTCGAGTTTTTCACTATTACGAACAGTACTAAAAATTCCTTATACATGTATCTTTGCATAGTTGGTAGTGCCAGTCATTCCCCTGATTGCAATGGAGTGCCGAGAGGCTTCCATGTTGATTTCCTCAGGTAACCAGCAGCTAGCTTAAGCCTCCATTACAGCTGCAGCCAATGGTGTATTGGTGAGTATAGAGGACGAATATAGGGGTACAGAGCGATTGCTTCTCGGCCTTTTGACTAAGATCAAGTGTAGCATTTGTTCTTATCAGTTTAATATCTCATACGTCCTCTATCTGAGGACAACATATTAAATGTTTTTTTGGAGCAGGCAGACGGAATAGGCATTTGCTCTGTCCACTCTGCACTGACCTACTCTTGCAGTACCTCTGGGAATGGTGCATCAATAAAAAAATAATAAAAAAAAGAGGCACAGAGAAACTGTTTGCAATCCTTGCTGTGATATGTATTAATAAAAAATCAACAGGTATTATTGAGAATATACTATGTGTCAATTTTTCCTGTGACTTGATGTCCCCCTTTTGACAATAGACTCAAATCTTCCTTTATTTCTGCAACATTAAAAAAAATTATACCTTGAAGTATTTTTTTTTTCCTCTGTTGTATTATTTTGCTTTTCCTCTACAAAGAAATTGTCTCCTGCACCTATCATTTTTTCTCTGATCTTACTTTCATTAAAATCTTTGTTTATCTCTATTTAATAGTGCTGGCTTTTTGATCCTGTATTCCAAATCTCCTTTTATATTTTTCATCAGTCTTCTTTTGTTTCGCTACAAGCTGACCTGCCTTCTCGCCCTCACTGCCCTGATGTTTTTTTCACTGGGCAGCTTGTTTGTTCCCAGTAAGTGCTTATTGTGCTTTCTCCTCAGGCCAAGCCATTTACTTCAAAGAAGGAAGTACTTCTCTTGGTATGTTGCCTACTTTAGCTTCACAGAAGTCCCTCTGGATGTGCAGTTTAACCAATACTTCAGATGTTTCTGATGCAGCTGGCCTGCTGGCCATAGTTTGAGTAACAATGACTTAAAAGATACAGAATCAGATATATCTTGACTTGAGTCCTGGTTTCTTTAGTTAGGAAATTCAGTCTTTCTCTGCTTTTGGGAAGAAGGAAGAGGACTGGTGAAAATATAGCCAGTCTCTGTCACACTCTGTCTTACTGACCACCTGATATCTATTCCACTCTTCCTTCTGTACATGGAGCACAGCCACCCTGTAGTGCACACAGAAACATGACACCCAGACTCCCGGTTGGAAACAACTTTGTTTCTCTAGCTGCTGAGAGTGCTGTCAACACACAGCCCCTAGCTGTTAGCAATTTCAGGGATTGCCTCAGCTGTCAAGAGCTGCCTGTACTTCCCACATCCATTAACAAACTGAGGTGGATTAAAAAGGCCCAGCTATATCAGGCTAATGTGGGGAAGCTCTGATGGGGTCAACCAAGGTCTTGTTGAACTTGCAAGGCAGTTTAACGTCTCCTTTCCTCCCCCTAACCTCCACAGGCATTGATCACTGATAATACCCTGCATACCGAACTCCTACCTCACTATCTGCTTCCAGAACACCTGACTTGTGGCACAACATTTCCCCAATACTCAAATCTATTCCTCACCGTGTCCAGCTCAAAGTCCAGAGTATCTGGATGATGTTTGCTTCTCTCAAGTCTGGGTCTAGCTCTTTTTGGTTAAGTGACCTAAGAACTGAAGCAAGTTATCTGCCCCTGATGTTCACCCCCCCATATACAATGATGGAACAGGAAGAGAATAATCACCATAAACATTCCCATATGGGAAGAGGAAGAGTGGGAGACACACAGCAGTCACTGCTTGACAATCCTGGAATCCTGCTGGGCAGACATTGATTAGGCTGGGATCTTGCTTTATAGGAGGAGCTTCCTGGCCCGTTGCTCATCCTCTGGGAGGCCCTTCCTGTCCATTATTCTCTATGGCTGCATCTGAAGCCAGTGTAAGGGAGCACACTCTCCTGGGAGCTATGTCCAAATACTGTTTTAAGGCTCAAACAATGAATAGCTCATTTTGTTTTGCTTCATGGTTTCTTTAGCAATAAGCTTCTCTCAAAAACTTAGCTGACTTCCATTTGGTTCCAATCAGTTCTATGTGCTAGTAACTACACCCAAGGTTGTTTTCTAGACACAGTTCTTGATTCTGTCATAATTTTGAGGTTCTTTAGGAGTCATAGGTGGAGATACCACATCCTTAACCTAATCTTTGCCCTCAGCTGCTTTACTAGATTGTAAAGTTTGAACAGTCCTTTACTACACAAGGCTTCTTTAATCCCATCACACACTTCCATAGGCTACCCCCTGCTTGGACTGTGTCCCATCATAGCACTGACCCACCACTTTGCAATTATTTCTCTGTCTTTCTAGCAACCAAGACAGAGATAGTCAGGTAGTTATCTCTTGGTAAGTACTGACTGAATTAATGAAATTTAGGCTTTTCTAACTATACTTAATTATATTATGAACTATTTCAGGAATCTCTTTGGCTTCATAAGATTTAGGTAGAGCAGCTATTTTCAACCTTTTTCATCTCATGGCACATGCAAACTACTAAAATTCTGTGGCACACTAAATGTTATATTTTTTGCCTCTCTGACAAAAAAATAGGTATAATTTTGATTCATTCACACTGGATGGCTATTGTTAATTGTCATGTTTTTATTTGATAATATAAGGAAAAAAAGTCAGTGCCTCTGACTAAATAGTCTGGTATTGTATGTTTTAAAAATTCTTGCAGCACACTGGTTTAAAATTGATGATGTAGATAAATATTTTGGTAAATTTTCAGGCAATTGAAAAAAAAAGTTAATTATATATTTTTCATGTATAGTTCCTGAACCAAAGGGAAGGATAATTAGGAGTTAATGAAGTTGGTAAAAAATGATCAGCTGTAAACACTGGTTATTAAATGTCCCCTGTAAATGGTTGGTGACATGGCCTTTCAGAGATTTGTTCCCAGAATCACGTTCCTTATAATTTTCCCTGAATTACCGAGGTTCAGACTGGTGTGGAACCTGATTGTCCCTGTCTCTTCTTCAAGTTCCCTCTCTCCTCCCCTCTCCTCATCCCACAACAGCTTACGTGAGGCAGCAGAGGGTCCCCATTAGTGCTGTGCTGACAAGAAAAGCAAAAATGGCTGCTGGAGGAATGGAGTTTTTGATGAGATCCCACAAGTAACCCCTGAAGTCACTCAGCCAGGACCTGTGATTTTCTGCAGAAAGAGCATAGCGTTTCATTGAGGAGAGGTCAAGTAAATGCTGTGATTTCAATCTTGGTTCAAATTCAAGTAGTTGTCCCAGATATAATGCTCTTATGGTTGCCCAGAGCCCATATCCTTATCTACTTTGCTTGCTGCCTCTAAGATGTTCAAGGGGTAAACATTTTTTAAAAAGGTATCCTCAGATGGATATAATCTTTTCCTCCTTATAAGCCAAATAAGAACAATAAGCTCTGCCCTAGATATCTTAAGGGCTGGTTTGAGGTCTTGGTTTATAAATGGGGTACTTTGTGAAAGAGGAGCATGAATTAATAACTAATATGTTGTTGCCTAGAGTATGTTTGTGAGTTACTCTGCAGGAGGCTGAGGGTAGTGAGTGTCCCAGAAAGAGAAAGTAGAAGGCCATCAGCCCCTGGAATATCCAGAGGGGGAAGGGGCCAGAGCAACTGGCAGAAGGAACTTTAGGAGAGTCTGCTGGTTAAGGTAAGGCTCAAGATATTGTGTGTTTTCTTTAAGAAGTGAACATTATTTTTAAATACATAATCAGTATTTCCTGACCTGAGACATGCATGTTATGTCTTAGGAAGACAGGAACACTCATTCTAACAGCAAACACACCCCTTGAGCGTGGTTTTGATCCTGCTTCATCTTGTGTTCTAAAGGCGGATAAAGGTGACTTAGAGGAAACTACAGTTTCCAAGAGGCAAGTCAGGGAGCACAGCAGAAATCCAATGCTCAGCAGCTTGTAAGGTTCCATGGAATCTCCCAAGGGCCACTCAACTGTACTTGCTCAGCCAAGGGAAGATGGATTTCTCCTTGGCTCTTTCCAAGGCAGTTTCGTCTGAAAAGTTATAAAATGGTGAGTTAGTTTTTATAGCAAAAAGCTTCTTACCTGTCATGAACACAAGAATAATTCACCAACTAACACTATTGAATCCTTAACATGGTCAGTTTCCAAAGTAAAATGCATCCCCCCTCCAAAAAACAAAACAACACAAATCAAAGCTTTACTATGCTCTATCAGTCAGATACCTGACATTCCTTTAGGCTCCCTTTAGGCTTCCCCAACTCAACTAGTGGAAATTATTTCAGTTGTTCAAGCTAAAATGTGTGATGTCACCTTTGACTCATTTTTTTTCACTCCCACATCTTACCTATCAGAAAAGCCTGGTCTACTTTATCTAGAAAGTATACTCATAATCTTGCCACTTCTGACTACTTCCAGCACTATTCACCATCATTTCTGTCTCTCTGTTTCCATCCTCACCTCCCTTCAGCCTCCTCCACTGAGCAGTCAAAGAGATCTTGCTTTTCGGTAAATCAGATTATGTCTTATTTATTTCCCTGAACTCATCCTATTATCTCCTCTTGATCACTGTAACTGAACCTCATTTGCTCTTGAACAAGCCAGGTGTGTTCCCACCCTGGGGCTTTTTGATTTGCTAGTCTCTTTCCAAGGAAAGCCTTCCCCTCAGATAATCTCATAACTCATTTTCTCACCTCCTTCAGGTGCTCAAATACCACCTTCCCAATGAGGATTTTATGGAGAATTCTTTATTAATATTTTACCACTCTCAACATAAAAATTACAACTAAACTACAGAACAACCATCATTCAGAACTGCCTGAAATCAAGCTGATTGGAAGTCCTACAACTAGGGAATTAAAAGAGAAGCCACATCGAGACTGATAGGAGGGGCGGAGATGCAGAACAGGCTGGTCCCACACCCAGGTCTGGAGAATAAAAATTGGGAGGGATAGCTCCATTTCGGAGGTTCCCCTTAAGGAGTGAAGGGTCCCAGCCCCACACTAGGCCCCCCAGTCCAGGGTCCTAGTACTGAGAAGTCCCCATAACTTCAGGCTCTAAAAACCAGTGGAGATTGAGGCTTAAGGAAGACAGAGGTTGCTGGAATCCCAGGCAGCTCCTCTTAAAGGGCAACAGACAGACTAATTTGGACTCACTCCCTCTGAGCTCCAGTGTGGGGGCAGCAGCATGAAAGGCATCACAGACATATGTGGAGGAACTGAATTGTATGGCATCAGGGCAAAACCTTGGAGGGGGTAGCTTTCTCCCAGATAGAAGTGCTGGCAGAAGACATTGTTCCTTTGATGATCCCTCCCCTCCCAGAGCCAGCATCTGAGATTCCATAAACCTTGCTCACATATTTGCCCTACCCTGGTGATGACAAGA